ACCACAGGAAGACATACACCGCATCATAATTTCGCAACCGGAACAGATCACCGAATCGCCTGAAATATCCCAGGATCGTCCAAAATATTTTCTCGGGATACCGGCCTTTCGTGTAAACCATTTTTTGAAACGTCTCTGACATAAAAGGTGATACTGTTATCTCGAATCCATTTGCCCGGATGATGTCAAGATATTGTTCGTACCTCAGTCGCTGACCCGGAGCATAACCGACCGGGTGCGGGCATAAGAGCAGAATTCTTTTTGGCTTATTATTTTTTTGCAATGACATGCCAATAGGGTATTTTTTCTGAGAAAGTGATATCCTTCATGCCGGCCTCCAGTAACATGTTTCGTATTTCCTCCCGGGTGAACCGTTGTTCGAGTGACGTGCCAAACCTGTCGAGTGAATCGTTACGTATCACGTAAAAACTTTTATTCTGGTATACTGACAAGGGCATCGATGCGGCCAGTTTTTTCAACCCGATCTTCTTTACTATTCTTCCCGCAATCACCCAAGGCATATAAAAAAGCACGGCAAAGATATCGCAGACGACATGTTTTGGCCCCTGTGGCAATGCGCATACTCCTAACCGGATAGTATTTGACAGCTTGTACAGCAGCTTGTAGGCGGCGCCTTTATTATCAAGTGCGTAATAAAGATAAAGGTAGAGATAGCCGTTTTGTTTGACTTTCTTCGCACATTTCAAGATAGCATCCTTTGTATCGGGTACATGATGAAGTACGCCGATGCTCATGACGAAATCGAAAGTACCATCTTCAAAAGGAATCCGGTCTACTCCTGCCTGCGTGATCCGGATATTCTTTACATCTTTCAGAAGAGCATCTGCTGCAAATACAGCGGTACTGGGGTCAATAGCCTCGACGAACTTACTCCGGGCAGCAATGTATTTTGCCCAGCGGCCAGACCCGCACCCGACATCCAGTACGTTTGCATCACGCAAAATGCTGTCATCGACTATATCAAAATACTCGCCGGCAATCCGATCGATTTCTTTATCGTCGAAGTCGTGAAACT